TCGCGTTTGGTAGCAAAATTAAATAAATGGCTTATATTACTCGAAAGTGGAAGACCTTCACGGTTTGCATGTGTATCCTGCTGTAGTGATTGGTGTGTAAAGAATCAGTTCTGCCGTAGGGTTATTTCGGTGGTTTGGTTTCTACAGTTTATGTACGATGGGCGTAAAGCAGCTGCGATTGTGGTTGGCATTTCCTCTTGCATTCTTGGTTACGAACCGGTAGAACAGTGATTGTCAATATTTGCTTATTAGTGCTAAATGTATCCAAAGCATGGTATCAAAAATCGTCTTCCAAAAACATGTGGCATGAATTACAATTGATTGAAGGCTATTATTTTAAAAATAAAGCCAGTGCAGTGTGTTAAATTTTGAGATAATAAGTAGAGGAACTGAATTGTGTAAAATTCAGATTACTATAAGTGAATAATAGTGACTGCATTATATTTGAAGAAATAACACTAGTGAAGAATATTGGAAGCTTATAATTATGTGAAACACATGTGATGCACGAAAAGTAAAATCATTGTTCATCGTTACAATTTTCTCTTCATATGGATGCAGTACTCGGTAGTGTGTTGACAGTTATTAAGTTCTTGTACCTGACAAATTTTAGAAGCAATCGTATAATATGCCAATGACTTGTTTAGCTAAATTGTGTATGGTTCTTACTAACAAACATAAAATAAACCAGGAAAACTTTTAGAGAAAATGATCCAAACAGCCAAATCTATGTTGTAAACATATATACTGTGGATCCTAGATCCAGTCTTAAAAATATCTCGACCTCCCTTGGTATATAGTTTCATTGTACTTTCCACAAAATATACGAATGCAACAATGATACTGACTGAGACAACTTTTCAGGGCAGGCGCTTAGCTAAAGAAGAAATACAAGAATAATTTTGAAGTTTCCGCCAAATTTTCTTCCATGTTTAGACTTGAAAAAGAGGAAATAGACCAATATATTTGCTCTAAACACGTGGCAAATACAACACACAATTCATTAATTCTATGTACACACTTAGTTTTTTGTACCGAGCTCGACTGTGCAAATCTCGGCAAAAAAATTTCACTGAGATCTCAGCAAAAGTGGCATTTGATTGCTTAGTCTCGGATAATGCTAAGCTGAATCTCAGCAAACAAATGAAATGTTTGCTGAGATCTCAGTAAAATTTCTTTTGCCGAGATTTGCACAGCCGAGCTCGATAGAAAAAAAACTAAATATGTATATCGGTTTTTACGAGAAGTGTAAATTGTTTACAGTTGACTGTTGCAAATTATCTAATTTTCTCTATATCAATATTTTGGTACAAAACCTTTACAAAATGATTTGTTAGGTTAAATCCATCAAACAATGTTTCCAATGATGCAAAAACGTGATCAAAATTGTGTTGCCCCGAAATGACAAATGTTCTCCATCTTATGATGTAAGAGGTTTTGGGAATAATCTCCCTAAAAGTGAGAAGTAAATCATAATTTTCGTAAAACCACTTATAAATAGTAGATGAATTTAGCAATGTTGTTGAATATTTTATCAGAAGAACATTTTCCCAAGGCACCTCTTGTCTATCTGCTGATTTTGGTGCACATTTGTAGAGTATTTTTTTTTTATCTAGTTCGTTTATTTGGAAGGCTCAATCGCGTTAGCTTTACGGAGTCGATAATTCATTGTTCACTGTGTGTAACAAAATTCACTTAATTCTATGTCTAGTAGGAGTTGGGCCGATTACTCGCGGCTTACTCGAGGTTAGAAGGGTACATTATCGAAGGATAGGATCAGGGGAGGAGCTTGGGGTAGGGTTTTGTAGAGTATTTTGTGGAGTTCTCTATCATAATTTTTTTTTGTGATTTTGTACAATTTTCAAATGTTCTTCAAAGTTATTTTCCACAATGAAATACACATACTTGCAAATAAAAGCTAAATTTTACATTGTATAGTTGTTGAGTTATTGTGAGTATTGTGTCTGAAAATGTGTTACTTTCCATATCCAAAATCTCGCAATGGCGCAAAATCGTGTGGAGAACTCTTATTCTATTTAAAAGAATAATTGAATTATTATTAATTTCAGTTGCTCTCAATTTTAGCTTGCATGCATATACGAGCGGTAAAAAATCGACTAAATTTATTCGTTAAAGGAACCTATTTCTTTTGTTCAATACAATATAAATAGTCTGCGTCAAAAATGGCGAACATGATTTTCATAGCAAAGGACATATTTATTTAAAAATTATATATGGAAATTTAATTTAAAATCATTAAAAAATTTGATTTATCACATCCATAAATTATCTGTCATATAACCTAATCTGAACCTTCGCTATGACTGTTTTCGCTATCGTCATTGTTGTTGTCATCTCCTTAAACCCTAAATTATTTTGAATCCTTAGGTAAGGGAATTTCACTGTTTTTTGGCAGCTCTCTGATGCTTGAGTAGATCAGAGAATCTCTAGCAGCCGATGCAGCAGATCCTCACTTTTGTTTTTTTTTTCAATATTTTTTATGATTCTGTAAATATTTGAATTGTTCGCTGGCATCATTGAGCTTCCTGTGTTGCTAATAATAATTTTGACGTCAGACGTCGGACGTCACCTGTCCCACATGCGCGCTCAGATTCGGAAGTTCTGAGATTTTGGAAGGATTCAATACTAATACCATTTTCAAACAGTCCACTATCTGTATCTCTGAAAATTTGTTTCGATTTCTGCATATACATTTCCATAAATCTTGAACTATAAAAAAACTTTCAAATTTAAAAAAGAATAAAATTATTACTGAGTTAGGGCATTTGCAACTCACCCTGTTCTCTTCTAGATACTCTCATGGATTAAATGACAATGTACAGTGGTCCAGAATGGGAATTGAGCAAGATAGTGCTTTTTTCGTAAGCTCAGTTTGATGAGATCAACAAATGTCGGTGCGTATGTGTGTGCTGTATGTGTGTGTATTAGTCACCCACTTTTCTCAGTAACGGCTGAACCGATTTTAGAAAAACATGTACAAGTTTGTGTGTTTGGAGCTTCGAATGCATAGTTTATTCCGGTCAGTTATGTGGTTCCGGAGAAATGAGCAAAAGATATATTTTTTTCAAGTAAAACACTAGTAGGGCTAACTACCCCATTTCCGGCCTATGAAGCACAACCCGCACTTAGTCTTTCTTAATCTAGCGTAGTTTAGCACCAAATGGAATGTTATTATTACTGACGGCTTTCAAATTTATTTACCTTTCCGTACGTACCGTAAGATTTGATAAAGAGGAACCAATCGTTGAGATATTGTCAAAAGTCTAACACTGCTTCTTGACGCCAAACTCGGCCTACGGATTCTAAACTCGGCCTAACGCATTGAAACGCCAATGAATTCACTTCGGCCTATCGGATGAAGATAACATTTGATTCGGTCGGAGCGCTTCTTTTGTTTTTGGGAATAATGGGTGCAAACCTTCATATCACGTGTTCTCATTGACTTCGTTTGGTAGCTTATTAACTAAAGTATCGTACCAAACGCATAATTGACTTGTTAAGTTTTCTGCTCGATAGGCCCAAAATGGGCGATTACGCTGAAGTAGTTCTTTACCCTACTCACTCAATTTTCTCGGAGATAGCTTGACTGATTCGAGTGCAACTGGTTCCATTTTTTATGCATCTGACTCATATAAAACCCTGTTGAATATTTTTCAGGTCAAACATTTGATTTCAGAGATATAATTTAATTTTACCAGAAAACAAACAAACTAATTGACTTTTCTCGGAGACGGTTTGTGTATAAATAATCATTTACTCGCGCAGTTTCGTGATGTCTGTAAATAAAAAAATTTCAAAAAAAAGTAGCAAAAGTTTGCAGAAGTTTTAAGCTTTGCCTTAATGAAACGCTATTATATCGAGGTTCTTTAAGAACAAATCATAAAATTTTGCTCCATTCTTAATTTCGAGTGACACGAAATTTCATTTCAAACTGGTAATGTGATTAATTGGTTAAATTTGTACGTATCTGATGCCTTAAATACCTGTTATATCTTATCCCGATCGGACATTTCGTTCCAGAGATATCAATAAAAATGTGGACATTCGCAATAAAACTCTCCCACTTATTTGAGAGATTGCTAGATCTATTTGAATGAACCGGTTCGATTTAGGTCCTAGTGTAGGTTTAACTGACATGGCTATCCAGTACTTTGCGATCGGTTAATGTAATGTAATGAGTGCACAAAAATTAAGAGAAAATATTAACAGCTTTCATTAGGCTCTATATGCTCTTGAGTCTATTTTAGTTTGTATTGAAAGTTACCTTTTTTTATGTTGATTGCGAAGCATACATAGATATATTAATGCAAATATAGTCTACGTCACGAATGTCAAAAGGGTACTCCATAGAATTCACTTGGCAGTCATTATTGAGCGTAAAATACTGGATACTCTGGATTCTATACATCATATTTTAGAATTGCACCATATTAGGAATGTATGGTTTATCTACCCAGTTTTTGTTAACCAAAAACCTTGATTAATGTCCCTACCAGTGAAAAAATGCCTTTTTCGGATAATATTACAATAGCTTTATTTCAATCGCAGGGGCACCCTTTACTAATATCAACATGATACTTAGTGCGACATTAATTAACTATAGAAAGATATGAAGAGGGCAGAACTGACAACTCCGCCAGAGTACGGCAGTATAACAGTTTGAAAGTTGAAATTTGGCGAGTGCTTTAAACATGATACAAAAGCACTATAGAGGTAGCTCTAAGACCAGAAGGTCCCGAAGAAACGTGCTGAACTTTTTGGCTCAGCTCTGGTACTCTCTTAGGTCCCAAGCTAATCGATGCACCCGTCGAAAACATAAAAAATCCACGAACCCCTCATTTTATCTGTCAAACTTTTAAAGCGAATGAAAACAAACATAGTGCAGTACTAGAATTTCGACTAGAATGGGGTAGTTTATAGACTTACTTGGGACCAATATTTAAAATCTTTAGTTTCCATCGGTTGGTAGTACCGTCATCGTCATAGGTAAATTTTAACATTGTGATATTACTATATACACAGTTCGAAAAAATTAGAGTAAATTTCTGTTCAATATGATGCACATAAATGG